TGAGTCAATGTCCAAGCCCAATAGGGCAACACCAACAACATAACCCGAAGTAGCTCTCTCTCTTGAATGGCGCCAGGCGCCCTATGTACTCTACAGCCTATCCTACAACTACAGTCATGGAAGCAACCAGACGACTTGACGACCAGCCAGTGATGACGTCAACACCAATGCCCACCTCCTCTTCTACCAGGTACGTCACTCTCTCTTGTCCCTCACTCTCCCTTGTTATCCCACACAGCGCCCTTCACCTCCCGAAGAACCACCTTCGCCCTCAACATGCGCCTGGGCCCCAGTACCTGTACCCAGGCCCAATGCAGTTGGGGCCCACGTAATACAGTTGGGCCTCTTTCATCAAGGCTTGCGTCTAGATTCAGATAGTGGACCGGTTTCCCATTGGCATTTTCGGCCTCTATGTCCAACATGAAATGTCGGCCTCACGTTTATGCGCCTTGGGCCTAACCAATTATGGGGCCCTGGTCCTTTTGCAATTGTAGAGATCTCGTACTCGGTGCACTCCAACCAACTGGCGTGCGGCAACTGTATGGACCCCACTTCGTGAAATGTTGAGAAAAAGGGGCTCTCATTGATTTGTTGGCCCGCCTTCACTTAGGGCGGGCACGAGGCTTGCTGGGGGCCTTAGCCCAGAACATGTACATCACGACAAGGCCCCTTTGAGGGCTCAATCCTCATATTCCATCCCCCTTAGCTTCGAAAGTCCGATGAGATGCTTACTTCGCACGTGCCTTCCCCTTTAGATGTCTGTCATATTCAGCGACCACCTGAGGAGCTCTTTCAACCAGTTCCTCTCTGGTGAACCATCGATCTTCTTTCGGATCTGTGTGATGCCTGAATCTGACTCTGTATTCTCTTCTGGGTTTAAGAGGTCTTCCTCGGCCCAGAGGTCTTGGAACAGGCATGTCTCTGTGTTCCAGAATGTCGTCGATGTCCACGTGGCCATCCATGGTTGGGGGCAACATTGATCTCCTTGAAGGAAATTGATCTGTCTCAGCGAATGGTGCAAGCTTTGAGGCATGAAACACAGGGTGAGTGCGCAGGTGACCAGGGATACGGATGACATAGGAAGGACCATCCATCTCATCCCCCACTATGTCCAGAACTTCCCAGGGACCAAAATACTGAGGCATTAGTTTTCGAGAGATACCGAATTCCTACAAGCCCGTTCATTGCTCACTAGCCTTGACCCAGACACGTTCCCCTACCTGAAATGAGGACTGTCGACAATGTTTGTTCTCAGAAGCAATCATTGCTTGCTGAGATTTCCTTATGTGCTCGACAACTTGCTGTAGCAACTTCTCATACTGCACACCATACTCAAGTGCGCCCAGAGTTGCAGATGGTCGGTTTTCAGGCAGGACGAAGTCTAGCGCTGATCTAGGCTTCCATCCCAAGTGCAGCTGGTTAGGAATGACGCCGGTACTGCTTTGTACAACGTTGTTGTACAGGCTGGCGATGAGAGGCAATTTCTCATCCAAGTCATCCTGGCTGGGCTTGATGTAATGCCTCAACAGGTGTTGTACAACTCTGTTCATCTGCTCGGCCTGTCTATTGGCTTCGGGATGATTCCCGGAGGTCATCTGAAGTTGACTGCCCAATTGTTCAGCAGTCTTCTTCCACAACTCACTTGTAAAGCGGACATCTCTGTCACTAACGATTGACTTTGGCAGTCCAAAATCACGCACCCAGTTATCCATAAACAACTTGATGACGTGTTCAGTCCTTGCGGTCTCTGGCATGGCAGTTAGTCTAGCGTACTTGGTGAATCGGTCTATGATGACAAAGATGTGCCTCTTGCCACTCTTACTGGTCACCAGGGTGTCCATGAAATCCATGGAAACACTCTGTCCCGGACCAGCGGGGATAGGTAAGGGCTTCAGCAACCCAAGCGGTGCTTGAGTTCGCGGCTTGTCCCGCTGAAAGACCTGACAGGTCTCCACATACCTCTTTGCATCATCTAGCATTCCGGGCCACCAAAATCGTTGTACTAGATTGACATTGGTCTTTTTGTAGCCAAAATGTCCAGTTGCGTCATGACATTCTCCTAGAAATAAACTGCGCAAATGCTCCCTAGATGGAACAACTAATCTTTTAAACCCGACCTTATCAAGAAAGAGTAGCCCGTCCACCATCACAAACTCATCTTCTGTGGCCTTATCTTTTGCCTGCAGTTTGCGTATGATGTCAATAGTGACAGGGTCTTCCTGATAGGCTCCCACCAGCGATTGAGTTACTTCTTCAGATACGCCAAACTCAGAAACTAGCGCCCCTAGGTAGTCTGCCCTACGTGACAGCGCATCTGGAACCTTGTTGTACTCGCCCTTCATATACTCTAGCTTGAAGTCATACTGATCTATGCCGTCAATCCAGCGCTTGAGTGCATCAGAAAGAGCCGGTTGAGTCTTGATCCATTTAAGGGTCTAATGGTCAGTTCTCAAATAGAAAAACCGTCCCAACAGAAAGTGCCTCCAATGGACAAGTGCCTTGTAGAGAGCATAGAGTTCCCTTTCGTAGGTGGACTTTGCCAGTTTCTTAGATGGCATTTTCTTGCTCATGTTCTCGATCAGTCTCAACTTCTTCCCATCCTGCTGAGCCAGCACTGCGCCAATGCCGTATTGGCTTGCGTCAGTGGTCACTATGAAAGGCTTCTGAGGATCGGGCACCATGAGAACCTCATGATTCATGAGTGCATGCTTCAATCGTTTGAAAGAAGCCTCACACTCATCACTCCAGTCCCATGGCGTATCGAGTCGAGTTAGATCAGTCAAAGGAGAGGTGACTGTGGAATGGTTTTTCACGAAGTTCCTATAGTAGCCGCACATCCCTAAGAAAGATCTGACCTCAGTCACAGTCTGAGGTCGTGGCCAGTCCCTAATACTAGCCACCTTCGCATGTTCCGGCCTAATCCCTTCCGCGGATACCTCATGACCCAAGTACAAGATCCTAGTACGTCCAAACTCACATTTCTCTAGGTTGACCTTATACTTGTGCTGTCGCAGGAGTGAGAGTACAGTCTCTACATGTTGTGCATGCTCCTCGACAGACTTACTAAAGATAAGAATATCGTCAAGGTACACGACGACAAACTTATCTGAGTAGTCATGGAAGATCCTATTCATGGCGTGCTGGAATGTACCCGGTGCATTGCAAAGGCCAAAGGGCATCACCACAAACTCGTACAGACCGTATCTGGTCCGAAATGCAGTTTTGTGCTGATCCTCAGGTCTTATAGCAATTTGATGGTAGCCGGACTTTAAGTCTATCTTCCAGTAGTACTTACATCCCTGCACCCTATCCAATAGGTCGTCTATGCGAGGTAGAGGCTCTGCGTTCTTCACTGTGATGGCAGTGAGGCCTCTGTAATCAATGCACATCCTCAATGTTCCCCCTTCTTCGGTACAAATAGCACTGGAGATCCGAAGGGGGAAGTACTCGGCCGTATCCAACCCTTTTCTGTCAGCTCTTTCAGTTGTCGCCGAAGTTCGTCCAACTTGGCCGGAGCCATCCTATAGATCCTTCCCTTTGGGGTTTTACTCCCTGGAATGATTTCTATGGCGTGGACAATCTTCCTATCTACGACTCTTGTGGGCTCTTTAAATAGATCAGGGAACTTAGCAACGACGTGTTCTATCTCTAGGGGTGTTTTAACGGCCTCCCCTTTCTCAAAGACAACACTAGGTACATGCCCTCCTCTTGGTTCTGTTTATAGTAATTGTAGAACGCTGATGCGCACAAGCAGCCATAGGATTCTATTAAGCTACTAGCCTTATACTTGGCCAGTCTCACGGTCCTTCCATCCTGCAACTTATGCTTTAGCACCTTCTTGTCCGAGTCAAACTTGGGCTTGGCAACCTCAAGGTAGTACATTCCTAACAACGTATCAAATGGTAAGTCGTCGCTAACCAGGAACGAAATCTTGTGATCAAGTTCCCCTCCTCCATAGGAGAAGGTACAAACTACATCCTTGACATAGTCTGTGACAACCATGCGCCCCTTATTGGCCAAAGTAAATGCTACCGGTCTACTAAGGTGCTGTACCCGGTCCTTTAGGTGCAGCCTTTCCAAACAGTCGCGACTTATGTAATTCCGCGTGGAGCCGATGTCTACGAAGGCACCACATTTGCGGCCTCGTACATCAATTTCCACGACGAAATGCTCCCCTCTAGGACCTCTACTTAGTGCCACCCAAGATTCGCGAGGGTCCTTGCTTGACCACTCACTTTCTAAATCTTTTAAGGCTTCGGACACATCCAACGTACAGAGCATAGTTTGGTCTAGATGAGTCTGCTGGGTGACTAAAGAGTCATTAGCTATGGCCTTCTCATGAAGTGGGAAGGGTATCTGACCCACTTCACCATGAGTAGAAGCACCTAAAACTTCCACCGGCCTCACATGTTTCCCCAGCTGGAAGCCTGGGAAGAAGGTACCCCTCCCTTAGGGGGTAACTTCTGCCTGACCTTTGCGTTCTTACACTTGTACTGGGTGTGTCCGTATTCACCACAGTTGATGCAAGTACCACACACTCGGTTGTCCCGCCACACTTCCTGATCAAGACCTGCCTCAACCCAATCTGCTACTTTGGACTGATTGGAGGCGGTCTGCCCTTGACTCTTTTGATGGCCCTTTCCCCTGCCACCTGCCTTAGTCTTTACTACCGCGGCGAGGGTGCTACCCTCAACGACTTCCTCGCCGTCGTACTTTGAACCGTCCATCAGGTCGGTAAGTTCTTCGATTTCAGTTTGGGTCCCATCGGACTCAACCATCATCAATCTACTACCCTTCTTCTTCCATTCCTGTGGACTCTTCTTCTTCCTCCCGTCTACTGGAGTAGGATGAGCACTTCCTAGAGTAGCCTCCAAATCTAAGGCCTTTCTAGAGAAGGTCTCAAAGGAAGGATACTCGAGGCGAGCCTTGCTGGCCAGTGAGGTCCTGAGATTCTCGGGCAGACATCTCAGAAACATGGTCAATAAGACCTGGTCATCGTAGCGTATGACGGGAACGACGATGAGGTTTTCTACGGTAGACGTTAGCTCTCTGACCGACTTGTACTTTCGCTGGTCCAGTCTCAACATCGCGTCAGTGGCAATTTGTGCCTGCTGCGGATTATGCCAGCGAGCTTCTACCATATCTAAGAACTCTTCTAAAGTGAGGGTCTTACCNCTCAACATCGCGTCAGTGGCAATTTGTGCCTGCTGCGGATTATGCCAGCGAGCTTCTACCATATCTAAGAACTCTTCTAAAGTGAGGGTCTTACCGCAATCTGCCATGCGTCGTCCGAACCCGGCCTTCGCTACTATCCCATCCAGCCATTTGGCTGCCTTACCCTCAAGGTAAGATGCAGCAGTAATCACCTCCTCCTCCTGCAATGTCCTCTTTGCCCTTACCCACATTGGAACTGTTCTCAACCATGTGTTGAGTTCCTCGTCGTTCTTCTCACCGGAGAAGGCAAGGGGCGGTTTCATTGGGGTCTTTGGGTACCATTGACCTTGCTGCTGTCCCTGCGGTGGAACAGTTTGTTGCGGTGATTGTGTAGCTATCGCCTATGGACCAGAAGAAGAAGAAGCAACAGTCTGTGCAACTGTTGCAGACGTACCACTTGGCTGTGTGCCAGCTTGTACCGGAAAGGGGCCTGACATCGCCGTTAACGGCAACTGTGCTGCTGGCCTTAATCCTGGCCTTTGCAAAAGGTCCAAGATTTGGTCCAAGGAGTTCTGCATGAAATCCAACCTAGTGTCCACGTGCGCATGCAGCGACAGTACGCTGGCCTTCAACACTTTCATTTGGTCAGACATGGCTAACTCGTCCAAACCCTCTAATGCAGCTTTGTCTGCCTCTAACGTATCAAGCCTAGCTGTTCTATTTTTGATCTCTTTTTCTCTATTGGTAGCTTGCTTCAGTTCCCTCTCTAATCGAGCGCGGAGCTCTAATAGCTCTCTGCCGCGTGGGGTCAACGGACTGAACTGTGAGCCCGCCCATTTGACTTGTGGACTGACTAGAACCTACTGATCCGAAAGTACCTGTGGGCCCCGAGGGCATTCCCAACAGGGTCCCAGACGAGGATGCAGCAGAGGATGCTGCCGCGGTAGCCATTGCTGCTGCACTGGCTGCTGCTGCTGCCTGTTCCCTAGCTGCGGCGTTTGCTGCTGCCAACGCCTGACTTGCAGCTAGTGTTGTTTCCCTCGCTGCTGTGTAAGGACGGGCTCTAACTTCGGCACGAAGCCGTCTTTCGTCTCCCGACCGTAGGGCCTGATACACGTACGGGACCCTAAGTGATCTAGAACGTGTCAGCCTCGCATCGTCAACTCTACCCTCATCGGCGTTTGACCCCATCAGTTAGGCAAACACTATCTGCACTACAACTCCCTGGTGGAGTCCTACCACAGCATGTGTCTGATCGGCACCTAATTTTCTAAAAATAAATTTGTTCGGCAGGTCCCCTACTCAACCGATCAAGTGGCAGCCTACAACATTCACAAAGATCGTAAACTTAATTTAGTCATATCAAGATTAGTTCACTTACAGAAGCTTTGCATAAAACTGGCTATGGTAGTATACAACAGTCCTAAACTAAGCTCTCTGTGAGGTGTTAGGAGTCTGTCAACCAACTAATCAACAATAAAACTAAACTATGTTGCAGATGTATGAACAGTGGATATGGTTGTTTTTACAATTGAGCACCAATTGGAACCTACCCTCCCCTCAATCCAACATACCAATGAGCATCATTGAGCAGCAATGTCATAGGTGTGCAATGTCGGCCCACCCCTTTGCCCCAGGTGCATGCTTATGACCAGGCTTGCCCTTTTTTTATCCTCGCGTGATCAAGAGGCCTATTTAAGGACTGCCCCCGAGGTCGCTCAGGAATTATTTAACGTCGCAATAGGACGACGATCACAGCCAGTTGACAGATCGGAACCCCATCCAGAAATGTTTATAGACGGTCTGGGAGCGTCTGCATAAGCCTGTTCAGTCCGCACACCCCTCTATCAGCGCAGCAAAAATGCCCTCATGGACAAAGCAGCCATCGCATGCGTGTACTAATCCCATTGGGTTGGCATGGTGACCGTGACCCACGTGCTTCGACCAGGGCCCTTCAGAGGCACCGCCCTTTCTCCTTCCAGATGTGCCACCGGGAAGATTGTCGTCTCTCAAGGTTGAGCGCTCACGACACCTCACCAAAAGAGAGGACTCTCAAGTTGGACTCACTTCCTCGCGGTAAGAAAAGATTGAGAGAGTAGATAAGGTAAGGGAACAACGTACCTGGAGATAGCTGCCCCCAACCTTAGATTTTTCACCAATTGAGCCGAGTGTGCATTTGATGACCGGTCGTAGCCTCGGTACCACCCACAATGCAATGCAGTGCCACCTCAGCCAAATGCCACATCAGCATGCTCTCATCACCAATCATACATTCCGTCGTCGCCACGACATCCCAAGCCGTATAGCCTTCCGGCGCACACCTCTCTACCCAGGTCGTGCGCCTAATATCGGCCTGACGTCACAAGAACCAACTGCGAAGAAGCATCGTCAACGCACCAAGTCTGTATAATGCCAGCGCACCAAAGTAAGCGGCGAATCGAACCAGCTCCGATACCAAATTGCAAGGAACATGAATGTGGACGAAGCACAGAGATGCCAATTGCAAAATCACACTGAAGTCCAAGTAGTCAAAGCAAGAGCAGATAGCACATCGGAACTAAGATACCATCCATTTGAGAACGATACAACAAAAGTCGTGAGTCAATGTCCAAGCCCAATAGGGCAACACCAACAACATAACCCGAAGTAGCTCTCTCTCTTGAATGGCGCCAGGCGCCCTATGTACTCTACARCCTATCCTACAACTACAGTCATGGAAGCAACCAGACGACTTGACGACCAGCCAGTGATGACGTCAACACCAATGCCGACCTCCTCTTCCACTAGGTACGTCACTCTCTCTTGTCCCTCACTCTCCCTTGTTATCCCACACAGCGCCCTTCACCTCCCGAAGAACCACCTTCGCCCTCACCTTCTCCAGCACCCTCATGCAGCCTGGCTATGGCTGCCAGCGCCCTACGCCCAGGCTGCGCCCTACCGCTTAGCGCCAGCCTGCCTTCTCTCAGCCTAGCGCAGCGCAACACACTCGCAAACGCAGCAGCGTGCCGGCCTTGCTCGCAATGGCCAAGGTCCCTGCCCACTCACTCGCTCTGCCTATATGCTAGTGTTGCGTGTGGGCGGCCTCCCTTCAGCCTGCGCCTAGGCCCCAGTACCTGTACCCAGGCCCAATGCAGTTGGGGCCCACGTAATACAGTTGGGCCTCTTTCATCAAGGCCTGCGTCCAGATTCAGATAGTGGACCGGTTTCCCATTGGCATTTTCGGCCTCTATATCCAGCATGAAATGTTGGCCTCACGTTTATGCGCCCAGGGCCTAACCAATTCTTCGGCCCTACTCCAGATGATGCAATCCCTCCAATCATCCATCTCCCTCCTAACCACCGCCATCACTGACATAAAGACCTCCATCTCTACCATCTCCAACTTTGTCACTGCAATCAGGAAACACCCCCGTCATCACGGTCGTCACAACAACCTCCCCCCAAACTACATCCGCACCACTTCCCTCCCCGTCCACATCTACCATCCTCTCCGCCAGCACGTCATCCACACCCCCGCCCGCATTTACCACTACCCCCACCATAGTCACGCAACAGACAACCCCGCTATCTCACAGTCGTCAACCATCCCCCCCAGTCAGAACCCATCTTGAGTTCGTCCGTTATCACCTCCACCCTCCCCAGCTATACTCAGACTATTCCACAAGTTGTGTATCTCGCCCTTCCACCACTCCCCCCCAATGCTTTCATCCCCACCAACCCCGCCAACGATTTCACCCTAGTGGACTCCTCCGCTCCCACCCTTGATTTCAACGCCCTTGCCGCCAGTATCGACAGAGTAGGAAAAATCCCTCCATCCTTCCGCTCCAACGAGATTCCCACTCTTTCTCGCCAAACTTCAACAAACCTTCTCCCTCCGCAATATCCCTGTCGTCCACTGGCTCCCCATCGTCGGCAGCAGACTCCTCGACAGTGTCGCTCGCTGGTGGTAAACTGAAATGACCAACCGCCATCACGCCAATCTCCGACCTCACACCTTCCTTGAGTCGGCCACCCTCATCACCTCCACCTTCCGTCCACAGAAAACGGTCGACGACTACATCAACCAATTCTGCCGACTCCAACAAAACAGCCCCACCGACCATTTCGTACAATACGTCCGCTTGCTTCGCCAACATATCCCCATCGATATCGTCAGCAACATCGCATTCATCTCCCGCGTTAAGCGCGTATGCCGCAAAGACCTAGCAGCCGTCCTCGTCCGCGAGCCACCCATGACCCTCGCCGACCTCCTCACTCGTGCCATCTAAATTGACCGCGTCCTCTCCCCCTACAAGACCGCACTTACATCGGCCCCTCCCTGCCCTCGCTTCTTGCACAACATCGCCTGCGAGGACATCTCCTGCACCACCTCCTCGGGCGAGTTCTCCACCCCCGACCCCGACACCCTCTCCGACCCACTAGACACCATGTCGCTCTCTCCCGATGAACTCTCTACCATCCACCTCATGCGAATGGAAAAGAGAGAATGCTCTAGCCACCCTCCCGGGCCGCCTCAAGAAACTTACACCCGAGGAAAGAGCCTACCTTCAGGCAAAAGGTGGATGCTTCCGGTGCCGACATATAGGCCACCAACAAACCAATTGCCCACTTGCTAGACAATTCACACGCCATCCCGCTACTTCCGCATCCGCCACTCTCGGGCCCTCCTCCATTTGAACACTGTCCCCATGGTCACCACGCACCCATCCCGGCATCAACGACTAGTCTGTCGGCCATCCCATTGGTGACGATCTCCACCCCACCGGTGACCCATTTAGCATCGACAATACGTCTGCCTCCCCCCTCTCCGGTGCCACACATCCCACCGGAAGACCCGCATACGTCGCAACCCTCGTCGCCTGATGCCCACCCCACCGCCACATGTTTTGCAACCCTCCTTCTGAATCCATCCTCTGTCACCTTCTCTGATGTTGTTGAGGAACAAGCCCGACATGATTCGCTGGTCCAATTAGGCAATGAACAACGCCGCCTTAACACCATTATTTCCACCGCCAACTCATCACGCTTTCACCTCAAATTCATTGCCGCCACCCTTGGTGCGTTTACGACTAAGTTTTGGGCCCTCCTCGACATTGGAGCCATCAATAAGTTCATCACGCGTGTCCGGAAAGCCAGTCTTACCTCTACCGGTTACGACTCCCCGATTACGATTCGTTTAGGGGACAAAGACACTGTCGTCGTAGTAGACCGCACGGTTCCCGAGACCACCATGACTGTCAGAACCCTCCGCAGTCAGGTCTCATTCGATGTCATGCACTTAATGTGCGATATCGTTTTGGGAACACCGTGGCTGGGTTGCTACATGCCATACGCATGCCACCCCAACTTCCTCCGCCTCACCAACCCCCCTGACACAACCATTGACATTTCCTATCTCCCCTTTCCCGCCTCTCAAAGCTCCGTCACCGCATACCAATTCCTCCACATGGCTCATAGGAACCTTGACTCCACCTACTATTGCCTTGTCCTTGATTGCGAGCGTCCCCAGGACTTGCTCCCAACAGACAAACCCGACCAACCCCCCCCCTCTGACCCCGCCCTCACCTCCATCTTCGATCTTCGATGAGTTCAAGGACATCTTCCCCAAGTTCTTGCCTGCAGGACTGCCTTCGGATCGTGGCGTATGCCACACCATCGATTTGGAGCCCGATCATTTTTCACCTTGCCGCCCTCCGTACCAACTCTCCGTTTCGGGAGACGAAGAAATGAAGCGGCAACTCAATGAACTCCTTGAAAAAGGATTCATTAAGCTGAGCTCATCCCCCTTCGGTACGAGCTGCCTTTTCGTAAAGAAAGGCGGAACATCGGAACTACGGATGTGTACAAACTACCGCGCCTTAAACTGGATCACGACCAAGAACAAGTACCCCCTGCCTCGGATCTCCGAGCTTCTTGATTGACTCCGTGGAGCCAAGTATTTCACCAAGATCAACGTTCGTAGTGGTTTCCACCAGATCCGCATCCGCGAGGAGGACACCCACAAGACCACATTCCACGCTTGGTTCAGGCACTAAAGTTCCTCGTGATGCCTTTCAGACTTACCAATGCCCCTGCAACATTTCAGTCCAGCATGAATCACATCTTCCACAACCTCCTTGAAGTTAGTGTTGTCGTCTACCTCGATGTCATCCTCGTGTATAGCCCCACCTTCGAGTCCCACCTTCAGCATCTCCGCCAGGTCCTCTCTATCCTCAGAGAGCAAAAATTCTACGCCAAGCTTAGCAAATGCCCCTTTGCCACTTCAAGCGTTGAATACCTTCGCCACATTGTCTACGTTGAAGGCATCAGCATGGACCCCTCGAAGCGTTGAATACCTTCGCCACATTGTCTACGTTGAAGGCATCAGCATGGACCCCTCGAAGGTCACCGCCCTCATCGAGTATCCACCTCCCAAGACCCTACTCCAACTCCGATCATTTCTCGCCCTTGCCAACTACTACCGCCCTTTTATTCGCAACTTCTTCGACATCTCGTACCCTCTCCACGAACTCACCCGCAAGGACGAACCCTTCGCTTGGAACGATCGCCGCCAAAACGCCTTCGATGCCATAAAACAACTCATCACCACGGCCCCCATCCTCAAGATCGCCGACCCCACTCGCCATTTCTACGTCACCACCGACGCCTCCGACTTCGCCATTGGAGCCGTCCTATCCCAACATTTCCCTCGTGACACCACTGAAACTGCCTCCATCAAGGAATCCCCTACCCACAACGAGGCTCCACCCGGCGAATACCCCATCGCCTTCGCCAGCAAGAAGCTCCTCCCCGTAGAGATGAACTACCCCTCCAACGAGAAGGAACTCCTTGCTGTGATTCACGCCCTCACAGTCTGACGCCCGTACCTCGACAGGCAATATTTCACCGTCCGCACAGATAACACTTCTATCCTAATGAAGAAAGACATTACCCCACGACAAGCCCGTTGGTTATACTTTCTTGCCCAATTCACATTCACCATTTGCCACACCCCTGACAAAAGCAACCGCGTTGCCGATGCCCTCTCTCGACGCCCTGACCACAAGCCCTCTGAGAAAGTCTACGCCGCCATGACTCATATCCAACTCCTCCCATCACTCCACCACCGCTACACCCAAGGGTACCTCTCTTGCCCGAATTTCTCAACAATCTACAACAAACTTTGTGACCTCAACTCAGTTCCCGACTACTCCCTTCACGACCAACTTCTTTAGATTGACACCAAAGGCGCTCGCCGACTTTGCATCCCCGATGCACGTGGCCTCCGTACCCAGCTCTTGGACGACCATCACGACGCCAAGACTGCAGGACACCTCCGGTTCCAAAAAACCTTCGACACCATCTCTCGTTACTTCTGCTTGCCTTCCCTACTCGTTGATGTCAAAACCTACATCCGCTCATGCCCCACATGTCAAGCCGTCAACCCCTCAAACCCCACCCACCGGTGGCAATCCATCTCCATGGACTTCGTCTTCGGTCTCCCCAAGACCGACCGCGGACACGATTGCATCTATGTCATTGTTTGCTGCTTGACTAAACGTGCCCTTTTCATCCCTTGCACCACTTTGCACAATGCCAAAGACGTCGTCACATTCTTCTTTACCATGTTGCACGCCACCACGGCCTCCCCGAGAATATCAGCAGTGATCGTGACCCCCGCTTCCTCTCACAATTTTGGAAACACCTCTTGAAGGCCTATGGAACCACACTCAAGTACAACACTGCATTCCATCCATAGACCGACGGACAAACAAAGAAGATGAACGATACTCTCGAAGGAATCCTGCGGAAGTATTGTCACCCACACCGACACGATTGGGATCAGTTGCTCACTGCTGCTGAGATCGCCTACAACAATGTTGTGTGTCCTTCTACTGGCATGACTCCATTCTACCTCGACCTTGGCTATCATTCGCGCTTGCCCTCCGACTTTCGGCTCCCCTCGCAACTTAACCCATCCACCCCTTGCCCTTCTCTCAATGAATGGGTAGCAACAATGAACAGACTCCTCAGATAAGCTACCCGAAGCCCTTGAACGAACACAAGAACAACAAGCCAACAAGACTAACAAACGCAGACGTGACGTGTCATTCAAAGTAGGGGGCAAAGTCTGGCTCTCCGCCAAACGCTTTGAACCCGAATACGGCTTGTCAAAGAAACTCTCGAACAAGTGGCTCGGACCCTTCCCCATCCAACTCCCTCCTGACATGGCTCGCGTCCACCCTGTCTTCCACGTAGAGTGCCTCAAAGAATACCATGAATCCCCACCCCAATTCGCTGACCGTCCATATCCTAGACCTCCACCAATCATGTTACCCACAGGCCCTGAATTCGTCGTGGAAGCCATCATAGGACGAAGAACTACTCAGGTATTTGACCACCCTGAACCAATCACAAAATACAAAGTTAAATGGACAGGATACCCTGACGAAGAATCCACATGGGAACCTCTTGCTAACCTTAAGAATGCTATGAAACTTGTTCGCGCCTATGATCGCGCTCACCCTATATCCTAGATACATAATATAACCCAAATCCTAAACCCTTGCATAAACCCCCCTCTTGACCCCACCAAAACCCCGCATTCCTACCCTACACACAACCCTGTACCCAACGGAGCCCTTGCCTCTTGAACCCCCCCCCCTGTCTGATCTGCTCTTGCCTCCGCCTTGCCTCGTTTTCCCATCTGTCCTCTACCACATCGTTGTCTCTCTTGTCCAAGTTCTCTGTGTGGCCCCTGTGCGTCGTCGACGATGATGGATCTAATGGCAAGCGCATGAGGACGATGGCATGCTGCAACTCAGTACGAGGAGATAAGACAACTGGTTGGCCACCATGCTGTTCCCTTTGGCCGGCACCTTGGACTCACAAACTTTTGGAGCAGCACCTCCGACATGGACATCAAGACCAATCTGCGACCTGCTATCCGGATCAGACCTCATCATCAAATCGTGTACCGGACGCAACCTGCTACTGGGACAATCAAGCTGAAGCCCTCGCCATCTACATCACAAAACCGCTGAAGACTGCTTCCTCACCGCCACTTCTGCGAAACCCTCCAAGACCCTCTTCAAGACATGTTTTCGCTTTTGACACCCTGTTACAAGACTGGGACGTTGTTTTCCCAGACCCCTCAAACACCCCAACACTTCAGCATTGAACAAACAATGTTATTTTATTTATTTTTCTCAAACCTAACAACCTATAACCTTGTAGAACACCAATAGGACTACCCTGTTACTTGTAGAACCTCAATAGGATTACCATATGACCTGAACATTGCTACTCTCACCCTTGTAGAACCTCAATAGGATTACCGTGTTACTTGAGCATTGATTCCCTCGTCCCCGTAGAACCTCAAGAGGATTACCCTGCTACTTGCATCACTCCCCTTTTCCTTTTCTGACCAGTGCTCAGCCCCGTCCTGTCCTTCACAGTTGTTCATTGGGTCTTTGGCAGCCGGGGCGTTGCCTTCTAGAGGGAGGGGATAGTGTTACGGATCCAGCCAAGGCTCGATCCCTGGTCCGCGGGTTACCACCCGCCAAACTGCTATTTCTTTTTTTTTTTGAGTCTCTGTTCTCCGGTGCCTGACTGTTGGCGCCCTCTGCTTCTGGCGCCTATTCTCAAATCCCGCCTCTGGCACTTTCAGATTTCGATACTTGGCGCCATCCGACATTCTGGCGCCCAGGCTCAGACCGTCGATTTTCAGTTTAGCCCCGAGGCAAATTGCACTTTTGCCCTCCGAACTCATCTTGAGTCCGGGGGATTCAGTTTTCCGCCTCAGTGCTTGTGCTTCAGTGTGACTTGCTGCGACATTGGGTTTGGAATCCAAGATTGCGACTTTGAGACTTTGCGACTTCCCCACTTTGTGTCTGCGTCCGTCGAGTCGTGTCGAGTCCGTGTCGAGTTGAGTGAGTGTCTGTGTGTGCTCTCACTTCCTCCCTCTCTCTTCCCCGACCTCGCTGCTCTGCCTCATCCCCGTCACATTCACTCCGGTTCAAAACCCTGTCAACAAGGGTCTCTAGCCTGGACCTATAGCTATGGCTGTCACTACAGGACTTCAATGCCGATAAGGAGGCATTTAAGGAGATCCCCCGTAACTCCTCAGGAATTCTTTAATGTTGCAAATAGGACGACGCGATCAGCAAGTCCTCTCAAGACTTAGATAGCTGGTTGTGCAGCCCACAACTCGGATTTTGGGCCTACCATGCCACACTGAGCAGCCCGCCGGTCTGTACCGGTCCTTGGGAGGGTTTGTCCTCCGGGACAGTCAGTCGTCAGACATGGACTTAAGCCCTACTCAGCCCGTGTGGGTTTGATCAACACAGCGCTACGACCTCATACACGGAGTTCCTATCACCTAGACAGAAGAGACTCAATGCAGAAAGAAGAGACAGACAGACTCAACAAATACCGTGGGGTGAGTGCACATCCATAGGGCGAGGGGATAGGTTGAAGGCTTGGCGAGAGTCAACCCCAGTCAACTCCAGTCAACCCCTCGGTCAACCCCAGTCAACTCCTCGGTCAACGCCTTGGTCAATGCACAACTCGTTTATGGCTGCCGACCCCTTCTCTCCACCAACCTTCGATCTCCTCCTTCTCCCTCCTTCCTTGTTTCTTCCTTCTTTCTTCCTTCAACCCCTGCTATCGCTTCTCTCTCCTCGTCGTCCCTCCTTTCTCTTCTTCGGTTATGGCTTCTCTTTCCTCTTCGTCGTTGTCTTTGCAAGTACGCTGGACCTTCCTCCAACGGCGCAGCTATGGCGGACCCTTCTTTCCAGCAAGGCTGGTGCTGCTATGGCGCCCAACTGGTGCACACCTCCTTCCTGTTAACAACGGCGATGGCGCGTGGAACAACGGGAACCAGCTCTGATACCACTGCAATTAAATTAGTTTTCTTCTCTATTCAGCATGCATGCAGACAAGTGGCAATCAACACTGGCGTCAGGGGCCCACTCAAAGCTCAGAGATATTAAGGTCGAGAACACCGTTCAGATACAAACTCGCTTCAATTGGCTATGGCGCCTGAGCGCCTACACATCACCTGTCCGACACTGTATTCACAACACTCACTATGGACCTCCCTGAATATCCCACACACTCCTACTGTTACATGCCCAGTAGGGCGATGTACATACAAACCGAGGATCCGCAATGTGATAAAAAGGATTGAATGGACAATGCAGTGCAAGTAGAATCTCAACGAGCAATGTGCATTCTCATACATACAAAATGGTGCTGAATAGCGCAGTGGAAGATTTAGATACAAGTCCTGACCTGAACGGGACTGACCTCATTCACGTAGCAAAAGATAGCGAAGCAGAATGCTAGAATGCTAATGACTAGCCCAATCAATGTTTGAACGCCGACCAAACATACATCGTATCCATCACCAAGTGTGAAGGAGCCTGGCGCTGTACAGAGGAAGAAAGCGCCAGGTCCAGACATACACAGACGAAGAGGAGGGAATCGGACGAAAGGAGGGAGAGAGATGGGAAKGTCGTCAACACGAAGTCTTTGTCACAAGTCCCAAATAATCCCTCGTTGTAATGTTTGAAGTCCAAAAGTCGAGTCTGGATCCGATGTCACCAAGCTCTGTCTCTCTTCTCTCGTAGTTTGCAGATGCAGTGAAGTTAGATGATGAGAGGGGCAGAAGGAGATGGTGGACTGAGAAGAGGAAGAAGAAGAACTCTCTCTCTCTCTCTGTTACGAGCCAGATACTAACCTGTGATGTTGGCGCTGTGCTGCAGGTACCTCGAAGACGAAGCTGGAGCAACGACGCTGTAGGTGAGTACCCAAGGCCTGCGCCCAATCTCTCTCTCTCTCTAGTGCTATCCTAGCTATGGCGCCCAGCACTGGAGACTACAGCTACCTACTGCACCCAGCGCTGAAGACTGAAGGCTAACGCTACTACTACTCCCTGCAGCGCTCCCTCCAGAGTGCTGCTCCCGAATCCTGAAGACCGTGGAGTGCATGGGAAGTCCCTATGTACTACCTCGGCCTGCCTCCTGACTGCCTGAAGGGCGAGCCAGGCCGAGGAGGCTGCTCTTGCCAATGCCGAAGTGTGCCAGGGGCTGGCGTTGCAGCAGCTGCTTGAGGCTGGCGTGGGAACAGGCTAAGAAGAGCCTGTTCCCGAAACCCTGGTTTGGTGCCTGAGTTTCAGGGTCGGTCGTTCATCAGAAAATGACCCTTCGTTTCAGGCTAAAAAGGTTGTTGCCATTTTCACTCTGAAACGACACAGGAGCTGTAGGCCCCTGTTTTCAGGCTTTCGGGCTGAACAGTCACGGGGCCTGTAGGCCCTGGTTTTCAGGCTTTAAGCCTGAATTTAAGGCTTTTAGCCTGAGGGACGCAAGGCCTGGAAAATGGCCCTCGTGTGCAGGCGCAACATGTAACACCCCCCCGCTCCTTATGAAGTAAAGCCGGGGCGAGGGCGGAGCCAACGATCTGAAGGTGGAACCTGGACGAGGGCGTGGCGTGGAGCCGAAGAGACCGGCTTGCCTTGCATCTTACGTTCATAGCGTGCGAGAACATCTGGCGTTGTTGCTTGAAGTTCCGGATGGGTCAACCAACGGTCAACTCTGTGTGTGCAGCATGCAAAATGCACCAAATACTCGGTTGGCCTGTTGCCGTAGCGTCGCTGGGAGATGATGTCGCCGACCTCCTGAAAGCCGTCCATAGAGGGTGGGTCTTGGGAACGTCTCCCGGGAAAATCGTCATGTTCCGCTGGCGTGTATAGAGCGAACTTGGAGCAATGAAAGACTGGGTAGACGGGCAAGTGGTCGGGCACCTGAATCGTGAAGGAAGGTCCCTCAGGTGAGTCCCCAGCGGGTGCTACGATCGGCCAAGGCCCCATCCATTTCGGGAGGAGCTTGCGAGAGATGTCTTGTTCAAGGCTGAATTCCGCTGTGGAAACCCACACGAGGTCGCCGGCGCAGAATGGGCAAGGAAGACGCTGATGATTGGCCTGCTGGCTCATGCGCTGCTGCGCCTTGGCCATCTGGTCGCGTGCCTTGATAAGAAGTTCTTGCATCCGACGCCAGAAATGAAGATGGTCGTCACTCTCGGTCGTTCGTGGAGTAATAGTGTCCAACGGTGAAGTGACCGGCGAGCCGTGCTCGAACTCAAAGGGCGACATCCCGATAGCCGGGTGGATAGAGGAGTTGTAGGTCAACTCGACATCCGGCAGCCGCTCAACCCAGTCCTTCTGGTCCGGATGAATGAGAGTGTGAAGGAGAACCTGTGCGGTCTGGTGCGCCCTCTCCGTTTGGCCATCGGTCTGAAGGTGGCGAGCTGAACTGGGCCTGAGAGATGAGCCCCATCGCTTGATGAGCGCCAACCAAAAATCGGACATGAACCGGGTGTCGCGGTCGCAGACGATCTCCTTGGGGTAACCCTTGGTTCGAAACCAACCGGCGTAAAGAACCTCGGCCAACTCCGGTGCCTTGGCATGATAGTAACAAGGGAAAAACATGGCGAACTTGGTGAGTCGGTCGACCACCGTGAGAATCCCATCCACTCCGGTCTTGTGCTTGGGGAACGGGCCGGGAATGTCCATGGCAATCGCTTCCCTTCACCTCAACGGGATTGGTAATGGTCGTAACTCGCCGTACGGACGATGGTTGCGGGATTTGCAGCGTCGGCAAACCTCGCATGACTCGCAATATCGCGTGACGTCGCCGAGAAGGCCGGGCCACCAAAATCGCTGGCGAAGTCGGCCAATCGTGCGATTGACTCCAAAGTGTCCGGTGGCGGGAGCATCGTGGAACTCGCCAAGAAGCCGTGTACGCAAGTGAGGATCACTCGGTACGCAAAGAAGGTCCTTCCCCCGCGTGTGGACAAGCAAGTACCCCTCTTGGATCCAGTAGTGAGAAGGCGCCGGATTAGGAGGAGCAATTCGCATACTTGTCGCGAAACTCGGGGTCGGCTTGGTAGCCGCGGATGAAGCTTTTCCGCAGGTCATCGTCGATCTCGAAGGTTGAGTAGACCGCGGTACAATGATCCGGACGCCGTGAAAGAGCATCCGCAAAACGGTTCGACTTCCCGGGAATGTGATCGGGAAAGAAGTCGAACTGGTCGATGAAAGCCATCCATCGAGCGATGGTGCTGTTGACGGTGTCTTGGGTCTTATAGAAGACCAACGGATTGTTGTCCGTTACCCATCGAAATTGGCTTCGACCAAGGAGGAAGTGCCGCCTCCGCTTGAGCGCGTGGACGAAGGCGAGGAGCTCCTTGCGTGCATCGTCAATGGAATACACGACGGGCACTTTCTTGCAGAAATACTCGATCGGGTGCCAGTCCACACCATCATGTTGCTCGAGGACTGCACCAATGCCATAGCCTGACGAATCCGTAGTGACGCGCGTAGGCAAAAGCGGGTCGTATATCCGCAAGACCTCCGCAGACAATAGCGCGGCTTTGAGAGCCAAAAATGATTCCCGCGCCTCCTCTCCGAAGTCAAACGACCGATCCTCGCATTGAAGCTTGGTCAATTGGGCCGCGATCTTCGAGTAGCCTTTGATGAAACGCTGATAGTAGCCGGCGAGACCAAGGAACGAGCGGACATCCGTGACATTTCGAGGCTCCGGCCACTCTTGGATGGCTTGAATCTTGTTCGATAGCGGACTGATGCCCTCCGGTGTGACAAAATGGCCCAAGTATTCCAGCTCTTGCCGGACAAATTCGCACTTGTCGCGGTTGGCGTTGTACTTGGCGCGGCGGAGCGTCTCAAACACTCGTCGAAGATGTCCAAGATGATCCTCCAATGACCGGCTATGGACGAGAATATTGTCTAAGTAGACCAGCACGAACTGGTCCAACATTGCACAAAACTCATTGGTCATTGCTGCTTGAAAGGTCGCCGGGGTGTTGGTGAGGCCTAAAGGCATGACCACCCACCCAAAATGCCCGTACCACGTTTTGAACGCGGACTTGTAGCAATCGTTCGGCCGGATTGAGATTTGATGATATCCAGATTTTAAATCCAACTTAGAAAAATACTTTGCGCCGCCCAGTCGCTCAAGAAGATCGTCGATGCGAGGAAGAGGCCCCGCATTCTTGACGGTTTGCGCGTTGAGCTTGCGGTAGTCGATACACAATCGTAGATCCTTGTTCTTCTTCCGGACGAAGAGAACTGGTGCTTCATATGGGGAGCTGCTAGGGCGGATCCAGCCCTTGGCCAACAAATCGTCGAGTTGTGCGCGGAGGACCTCAAGCTCCTCCTCGCTCATGCGATAGATGCAACCTTTCGGCGGCACGACACCGGCCTCAAGAATGATCTCGTGAGAGATCGGCCGATCCGGCACCACACCGGTAGGTGACTCGAAGATGTCGGCGAACTCGTCCAGCAACCGCACCACCCGGGGGTCCGAAGACAAGTCTGTGGGTGAAGCGTCGGCTACCGCGACGGTCCGTAGGAAACATAGGCCGATCTCATCGGGCTGCTCGTAAGCGCAAGTCACCCTGAATGATTTCGCCGTCACCACTTGGCACCGAATCGAAGGGTGCGGTAGAGGAATAGTACATGCCACTTCCGCACCGAAGGCGTCGCGAACGCTAAGAGTCCGCCTGTGGAAGCTGACCGTGTGATCCGCACTTGCAAGCCAAGGCATTCCCAGAATGATGTCAAAGTCCCGTGCTGAGAATATCGAATGTCACCGGTTCGCATGCATGAGGTGCGAAGTAGACCGGTACGACCTCGATGTAACAGTCGAGAAGTTGCTGCGTTTTCCCATCCGCCAACTTGATCGCCGTCGGGTTTGCCTTCCTTCGAACTTGTGCGCCAAGGCCAACCCTTTGCATAAAGGATTGGCTCATGAAATTGCGAGACGCGCCACTATCCAGCAAAGCGCTGCAGGACGCTTGCCCAACTTGAATGCAGACATACATGAGCGGTGCGTTGTTGTCATCGTACCGCTGCGTGCGAAACTTGCGGGCCACCTTGGTAGTATACGATGTCCCCCACCGCGACTTCGTCTCCCGTCGGCGAAGTTGGTGGTGCATAGAAGGATAAGTAAGTGTGGAGATGAGCGCATAGTGCTAAGCATTGCGGTCCCGGCAAGCGGCTCGTGGTCGGGAGAGGTAGCCATGCAAAGTCCTTAGACGTGAGTGGGTCCAATACCTCTATGTTGAACTCGCTCGTTGATTCCCGTGAAGCACCACTTGAAGACGATATGTCGCTTCTGCCGGACGGAGAAGAAACCGCACACACTCCTTGTCCTTGAGCTTGAGTACCCAGCGTAGGAACGAGCCGGGCAGCATAGTTCTCAAAAGAAAGTAGAAGAGGAGGACTATCGACTTCTGCGTGCGCCTCAGAATGAAGGTCGGTTACTCGCGAAGAAACCGGTTCCGGAGGCGTCGAGAGTGTTGTCGAGTCACTCTCGGCGGTGCTCAGTTTCCCTTTTTGCCCTTGCCTTTCAATGGGCAGACCGGTGTCTGATGCAGATCACTGTTGCACCATAGGCAATAGTGGAATCTCGTGCGCGCCTTGAAGGCTTGCTCGGAGATGCCGTATTGGGACCAAGGGGTTGGAGCTGCTGCGCCGGGCCCGGGGCTAGATGTGGTGTTTGTCTTCGGCTTGCCGCGTCCTCGGCCTCTACCCGGGCGGCCACCTTACCGGGCGGCTGCGAGTCTGTCCCCTTCACTGGCAGATACAGCCTTGCTGGTTTGGTCCAACGGCATTGCCGCTGGTACCACGGCCACTCTTGGCCGATGCTGGTCCCTGCTTGGGCCTGCCGCAGACGAACGCAGATTCTTTGCCTCCTTGTTCGTAATGATGATCTGCGCGGCCTTGTCAAAAAGTTCTGCCGTCGTCGTCAAGGTGTCCTCGACGTGAGTCAGGGCATTGCTTAATGTCGGACATGACCTTGAGATAAAGTAGTGGCGGATGGCTTTGAAGCCCATCTGGATGTCTGGGACTGACGTCAAGCGTTGGTACTCAGCGATCCAGTCGGTACTCGGCAGCGTGCCTTGTTCGAAGACCATGAGTTTGTCCATAGCTTTGATCTCCGACGGCTCAACCTGGAACCGCTTGTGCCACGCCGCCTTCAGATCATCCCAACTGATCTTGGTGTGCAAGTCGGCAGCTACCACTTCGTACTTGGACAAGAGGTTGTCCAACCAAGCCTGGCACGCGCCCCCTGAGCGAGAGTACAAGTATGCGTGGTGCTTGTGTTCTTTGACGTTGTGGAGCTGCAGCGTGAGCTCGAACTTGCGGAACCATGGAATCGGATCTGTCTTGATCGAGTCGCAGAAGATCTCCTGCCCGTCAAACTTTGGAGCTGTCTCGCGCGGCTCCGAACTCGAGGTATTGGCGGTGGTACAGATCCGCTGCTGCAATTGTTGCATCGCGGTCTGCTGTAACTGTGTGCCGTCCTGGAGGGAGCCGACGTGCATCTCCAATGCTTCGAGGCGATCGGAGGTATTGGAAGAGCTTGCATCGGGTGCGGCGACAGGTCGCTGCTCCAACTGTTGCAGGCGGCTTTGTAGTTTAGCTAGCGAGTCGTCGAGGCTGTGGATATCCTCCTGCTGCGTAATGCATGTAGCCAAGAGGTTTGTGAGATGCAAGAGGAGGAGAGCAATTTTGTTTTCCCAATCCTCCAACTTGCCATTCTCAGCCTCGGTCCGCCATTTCGCTGCCATTGTGAGCAAGGTCCGCTCTCCACTAAATATCTTCGCATGACGTTGGTTCCTTTCTTCATCGGCAACCCTTGCTGCTGCCTCGTCATGCTGGCGCTGTTGTTCAAGTGCCAACAGACGTGCCTGCTCGGCATCCTCTGCCTTCTTCTTCGCTGCTGCAGCTGCGTCATCTGCCCGTTTCTTTGTCTCGGTACTCCAAGCCAGCATCCGGGCCTGATAGGCCTCGTCTGCTTCACCGGGCCTCTGGTCCATGATGGCTGTCTGTGACCGCAACAGCATGTACCAGGCCGGGGGCCTGCTGACGTGGTATTCCTGCTTTGTCCGCTGACGTGGCCTGCTGACGTGGCCTGCTGACGTGTCCTGCTGACGTGTCCTGCTGACGTGTCCTGCTGACGTAGTCTGCTGACGTGGCAACTCACCAATGTCGTCGCAAGGGGTACCCGATAGGTAGAGAAGGTAAGGCCAGAGG